TAGTAGTAGGATCAGGAGTAGTAGTGGTAGTAGTGGCAGTGGTAGTGGTAGTAGCACGAGCAGTAACAGTAGCAGCAGTGGCAGCAGTAGCAGTAGTGGCAATAGTAGCAGTACTAGCAGTAGGAGTAATAGCAGTAGTAGCAGCAACAGCAGCCACAGTAGCAGTAGCAGCAGTCTTCGTGGTTGTTGTTGTAATTGTGGCTGCAGACAGAAGACGTATTGTAGTCCAGGTAAAGACGCAAGAGTTGTAGCAAGCACCGGAGCAGCCAGTGGGCGGCGTGTTACGAGGTGGGAGCATACATACAGTAGAATAAATCATGCACACATTCCGTCGTATTGCTCTGGTGGCTCTCTTTGGTTTGGTCATGGTCATTCTTACATGACCGCTTCTATATGTTCTGCTGCTCGAATACAACTCTGGAAGAAGCTCTTTCTTCGAAAAACGCACGCAAGCACTCACACAGTGGCAATTGGAAATCTTGCTGTGCGCTCTGCCAGAATCTGTCCTGCGACCCCCATTTGCCACCTGTTGCGGGCTTGTGTGTCTGGACTCCGGGGGGCTTTGCCTGTAGCGTCAATAAACACATCAGACCTCGACGCCGAACGAAAACGAACACTCTTCCCTGATCTCCGACGTGCTGTAAACTCTCCGGGCTTTACGTAAATAAATACATATGCAAACACAAACGTACATCTGCGTGCATGCACAACCTGTTGCTGGACTTGTTCATATCTGCACTTTGTCCCTATCCGTGGTTCTACTCAAAGAATCCCACCGCTCCAGGTACCTATCGCCTGCAAGGGGATCTCTGGGACCTCCGAAGCGTCTGAAGTCGTAGTTAAGGTTGTAGCATTCGGCGTCAGACTTCGGATTGCGGCAACAACACTCATCCCTGAACCCTCAACAAATCCCTAAACCCTAAACAAACCCCTAAAGCCCTAAACCCTAAGACCCTAAAGCCCTAAATTCTAAACCCTAAGCTCGAAACACCAAGCCTCGCCCTAAGGGCGGCAGTTGGTCGAGCTCGCCGGCATGGAAAGGGTAGGCTCGCAAGCCTAATGTAGGGGTCTTAACAATTAGAATCGGGTTCCTTTAAAGGTCCTGAAAAGGGAGACTACAAGGGATACCATAAGGGTTACTGCAAGGGCTCCACAGCGCAGGGTCGGGCTTTGTGGGTATATTATATACTATAGTTACAATAAGGAACCAAAGGAGTATGAATGGTAGTTATCTAAAATTATTTAGGCTTCTATAGGAGCATTCTTCGTTGAAAGGTTGCATGTGAGAGAGAAACATGGCGGCCAAGATTTTGAAGACAGCCTTTTGGAGACACCAAGGTCTCTCTTCGGGGTGATACGCGGCTCTTGAAAGCCATGGGTGTGTCCCTTCTCTGGTCTGGGTGTTCTGCAATTGAAGTCAGGCAGTGCTCAACAAACATCCGCAGCTCCTCCACTAAAGAACCTAAACCCTAAACCCTAAACCCTAAACCCTAAACCCTAGACCCTAGACACTAAACCCTAAACCCTAAACCCTAAACTCTGAACCCTAAACCCTAGACCCTAAACCCTAAACCTAATTCTTAACACCTCTGGGAGTCGAACGCACGGCGTTTGAGAACCCGGCTGGGGCTTGAAATCGCCAGTGCGCCGAGGGCGAAGGTTTCTTCTTGCACCTACGTGGCTAGGTTAAGCTGTTCAGGCTGCTTGGGGCGAGTCGAAAGTAGAAAGTATATTTTGCACCGCACAGACTGTTTTCGAGAATTTGGGGAGGTTTTGGATTCAGGTTAGGAGTTCAAGGCGTAAGGAGATCTGAATGGTGGTTTCGGTGCCGCAGGTGCCTGGGATTCAGATGTTACAGCGTCTGGGGATATCGGATTCCATTACAGGCTGTGTTTTGGACGAGTTCTGGCTAACTATATGATAAATTGAATATAAGCATAACTTGATCAGTAATTTGTATATACATATATATATATATATAACATGCATCATATATCTTGCTTTAAATAGCATTCATGAAGACTTCGAGGACCAGTAGGGAGCGTAGATTTCAACATCGTTCAAGTTTTACTCCTTAAGACTTCAAGGAGCAGTAGGGAGCGTAGATTTCAACCGCGTTCATGTTCCATGGGCTCCATGGATGTCGAGGACTGTGTGGAACCATAGTGGCAAACGGCAATTACGTCGCTTGTCAAGATCAAGGCAGTGTAGGAAGAGCTGTGGAGGCATGGGTCAAGCGCTGATCTGTTTCTCATGGTGTCCTACACCCCCCCTACTGCCTTGGTTTCCACGCCAAGCAAAAGGCTGCATAAAGTGACCCCTGAAGCCTGATTGACCCCTTGAATACGGAACACGAAAAACCTTGAAGCCCAAACCTCGAGCACTATGCTTCAAGAGCCCTGTTGCACCCCAAAACCCTATAGAGCCTACTGAAATCACGCCTAAACCCTCATGAAAGCCCAAACCTAGACCTTAAACCCCCCCAAACCAGAGCCTAATTGCAGGCAAGCGAGCCTCCCGACCTTCGGCAAGGACCTCGGGCGGCAGGGGATTATCTTTTCTGGGTCTTCCCTAGCAACATAGTCGTAATGATGATGACGGCAAGAGGAAGGCGAGTTATAGCAACAACAGTGATTTTCGCAACTGTTAACATTACCATTCGCCTGATCCTGCGCCGACGAGCTTGGTGATTGGCTTGTGTAATCCATGCAGCAGTGCGTAGCAAGGCAAATCCGGGCTGTGGCCGACAATTCGGAGACTGGAAAAAGAGCCTTCCATATTTGCAATGGAGACGCAGCTCTTGCAAATACTAGGTTCTCCAGTAGCCGGTAGCCCTTTAACCATAAGGACACCCTTCCTCCTACTATTTAGTTTTAATCAGGGAACCCACAAAAAAGGGCAAAAGGGTAGTTACTACTGGGGAAAGTATAATAAACAACTGAAGCCAGCAAGAACGGTTCCCAACCAGTGAACGGGACCATGTGACGGCTGAACAAGAGTGTAGTCCTTGTGGGACCCAACTGTAGTGAATAGCTGCGAAGATACGCACCTTACAGGGAAGCCTTTCCGGTTAACGCAGTTGCCGAGGAACAGCGAAAGGAGGAAGTGGGGTGCTCAGCATACAGATTGGAACACTCTCTGCTCGACTCAGGTACCAGCAAGTCCCTCCGGCATGTGTAATCCAAACTTAAGCGTAAGCTCTGTTGAAGTGGCCTTCGGCCCTGTCAGCTATTGTATGCAGAGCTATAGGCTTGCCCCCGAGGCTGCATAGAACTGCTTTGCACAACAGCTCTGCCGGCACGGCATGCATCGCTCTTTTCCCCCCTCCCCCGAGAGTTCGCAGGCTTTTTGCCTGCCAACAACAATTTAATTCTGATCCTTCGTGAGTCTTAGTCCAAGATTTGCACCATGGGCCCTTCAAGGCGTAAACCTTGTCATAGAGCACGAGCTCTGGGCGCAGCCCGCTGCATGAAGATCAGTTCTCTACAGCATCTGGATGGTTGTCCAGACTGGGAGGTCTTTCCGGCCAGCAGAACGCCGTTCGCCGAGTTAGAAATCGCCAGACTTGGCTGAGGGTTGCTTTGACCCTTTGGGAGACCCTGCATTTGCTCGAAAGCTAATGCCATATACAACCGAATACGGATGACACATATATCATAGATGTAAAGGTTAAAGTATGCACACTTGCAGCCACTGCAATACACTATAGCTATAATAACACCACCATGCAATTGAAAAGAAAGAACGTAGCCCCTCTAGCCGTCCTTCAAAGGCACCTCAGCGAGGAAGGGCACATTGAGACGGCTGCAGATACGACGCAGGAGCCGATCCCACATCACCAGAAGCCTGTGCAGAGAAATGGCGATCAGGCTTTAGGCATCGCAAAGCTTTGTGACCACGGTCTTGGCAGAGTTGTTGTTCGTTTCTGTTGTATGCGCGGAAGTGGGATTGCATGTAGTGCTTCTCATTCAAAGCTCTGTTTGCAGCCATTCTGGCAAAGCAGTTTCCCTGAAGAGTTCTAATGAACGAAAGCTAGCAGCTAGGAACATGGCTGGCTAGCAACACATGCTGAAACCGTTCGCGGCTTGAGCATTTCTCTTCTTCAGCTATGATCGACACCAGCAGTTGCGTCGTGCAGGCGCCGCCTTTTAGGGTTTCTGAGTTCGGTCCGTCTAGGCCACCTAGACATGCTTTTCAACTTCCGAGAGTGGAGACTAGTCCACATGTCTACGATAATTAGAATGGGGTTTGAGGTAAAATATACTATAACTATAATCAGGAGCCCCCAAAAATTTAGGCTCCTACATTATGCTGTGGATGAGGATGGGGTCCTCTAGGCCACTGGCTAAGCATGCTGCCTCAACAAAACAGCCCAAACTATGCACGTGTATATGTACCCCAAAAACACTACGCCTGACCCGCGAACAACAAAAATGACCAAATGCACAATGCCATCCTGGCACACCTGCAAGACAAGAAACAAGGCCAGCTCGAGAAGGGCGATGAGGAGCCATCCACCAGCTCCGATCATGAAGCCTCAGCTTGGCGATAGGTAAACAGCGCCATGAGAACAAGAAAACACGAAACCCTGATGCTGTTGCACTTCTTTCTGCACCTCCTCCTGGCGCAATCAGACATCAGCATGCCAGCACACTTATCACCATGAGAGCTTCTTCCGCACCATCACTCTCACCATGACCGTCGGCGATCATCAGAGCCCTGAGGGTTAAACAAGCAATAACCAGCATGAAGCAGAAGTGATCCCAACACTTCAACTTGACTGAAAGTTGAAGCTGCTTTTGCAACAGACAAACGTATGATCACGATGGGGATGAGGGTGATGATACCGTTGCTGCTGCTGATCCATGGTCTCCATGATGATCACGACAGTGAAGATGCTTTTGGAGCTGCGGGGTCGTAGAGTTGGGGTCTACTATACTATAACTACGTATAACAAGTAACCCCGAAAACCCTATTCTAGTTAAGGCCCCTACATTATTAACACTGGCCTTAGCAAAACTGTAGCTGCACTGGAAAATTCCAGCTATTCAAGCAGCTATTCATCGGCAATTTGCCAATCAAGCAAGCCCAATGAGAGGTAGCTCCGAGCAACAGCAGCAACTCTAGTAGACCAACTTGGAGGTTCATGGGTAGTTATAAGTAGGGTTATAAGTGGGGTAACTATAGTTATAACCTATATCAGGGGACTTATAACCCCACTTATAACTACCCATGAACCTCCAAGAAGGGCACAAACACGCCAAGGAACCCAAGGCCTCGACTCCGCTCCCGGCCAGGAAGGGTAGTGCCTCCCAGTGCAGCGCTGGCCAGGGAACGCGAAATGTGGCCATGAAGCGCATCTTCGTCATCAGAAGCCTGGCTTAAGAGGGTTTTTAAAAACCCTCTTTAAAAACCCTGTTCTGTTTTTAAAAAAACCCTCTGAAGCGCATCTTCGTCATCAGAAGCCTGGCTTAAGAGGGTTTTTAAAAACCCTCTTTAAAAACCCTGTTCTGTTTTTTTAAAAACCCTCTGAAGCGCATCTTCGT